CAAACTGCTTTGGTTAATTCACTCCTCCACTTACTAGCTGCGTGTCTTTGGGCCTACATTTAACACCTCTGTGCCTGTTTCTTCATATGTAAAATAGAAGTGATGATAATATCAATACCCATCGCAGTTGTGAGAACTGGTTGACTTAATATGTCAAAAGCTTAGATTAGTCCCTGGTACAGAGTAAGCGCCAGTAAATGTTAATTTTATTATTGAATTCTAGACCCCCAAACAATGAAATACTGCATATAAAATGCTCCTATTCGAGGTAAGTTAAGCATATTGAATTTTTTTCATAATGACTTACAGATATTATAGCAGGAGAGATGAGAAGGAATTCTCTTCCAGAATATAAGGAATGTAATAAGTTTTCTCAAATTTGAAAACAGTCAATGATTTCTATTTTAAGGAGTTTGAAGTAAATGTACTAATTTTTGCTATTTAGACTAAGCTCTTATTATTTGCCCTATTCAGAATCCTTTCATATTTCTTTTTCTTTTCTTATTTTTCTTTTCCTTTTGAATATCATCTATTCTTGTTTTTCAGAGGGCAGTAAAGAACAAAGTCCATTTATGAAACTTATTTGTTATCCCAGTACTGGAGTTTTGAACTGGCAAATCCTGAACCTCTTTTAAAACTTTGATTTAATGTCCTGAAAATTTCTGAAGATACTTACTACCACATGTCCTAGTAATGGTTGCCTGCCTTAACTTGAGTAAAATCACAGTCATGGGAATCATAATTTCAACTATTTAAATCAAATGAAATGTAAGATGCCAGCATAATGAAGTGGAAAATTGTGGAATGAATAAAAGCAGTGTGTTCTGAAGTCCACAAGAACCTAAATTTTATTCCCACCTGTTCAAAAGGATTTACCATATGAGATTAACTAACTCTATTAAATACACAGTATCTGTGCCCATTTTCCTAAACCTGTTGGTATTTATATTTCTCTCAATGGAATCTAACTGATTACAATTAAATTAACTTTCTTGAGCACTCAGTATTTAGGTTGCATCCAAGTCTAGGCCAGGGCCAGCCCCGGTGGCCTAGTGGTTAAGTTCAGTGCATTCCACCTCAGCAGCCTGGGTTCAGTTCCCAGGCGTGGACCTACACCACTCATCTATCAGTGGCCATGCTATGGTGGCAGCTCACATACAAAAAGAGGAAGATTGATAGCGGATGTTAGCTCAGGATGAATCTTCTTGAGCAAAAAGAGAAAAAATTCTAGGCCGAACTACTGCTAAAGAAGGCCTTTAGCTTCTGTTTCCTTGGTTGTTTCCAATTTCCAGTTTCTTCTTAAAATACTGCTACTGATTAGTCATCAGTAGATTGCTTACTTAGTCATCTTGTTAAATTTATAACTCTTCAGGTAACTTCGCAAGTAGTCACTTTACATAAGATACATTTGCTTTATAATTGACCGTTAAAGGAATCTTTTTGCCTCCAACTCCAAAAATATCTGATTCCCTAGACTGCTTCTTTGCACACTAATCAAGAAGTTTAAGGGAATAAAGGAACATTAATACCTCCTAGCATCATTATTTTTTAACTCTGTTTATTGTTTGATAAAATAAACGTTACGCTTTTGCTGCTAGGATTGTGGTATCATCTGTATTATGTATACTTGCGTTCATTCGGTAAATATTTATTAAACACCTGCCATGTGCCAAGCACTATTCTAGGTACTATCAATGGAACAGTGAACATTCATCCTTGAAATATTATGAGGTTTACCAGTTAACACCTCTCTGTTCTCATTTGAGTGCTTAGGGGTTAATTCAGTAGAATATCACAGAATGCCATAGAACCTCAGAGAACACATAGTTCAACCCTCTTGTTTATAGATTTTAAAAATCTGTAATCCTGAAATAGATAATTTCTCTAGGGTCACATGGTTAGGTAGTAGCACGGCTTTCTTTTTGTTTTTCTTTCCGTTAGTCATTCAGCAAACATTCTCAAATCTTTTCTATTAAAAAGGTCAACAAAGACAAGAAAAACTTCCTTCAATCCCAAAAGCCCTCTCTAGTAGCCATCCTGTCTTTCTCTGGCTCTTTACAGTCAAACTTTTTGAAAGAGTTTTCTTCCTTATCTTCCTTTCAATCCAACTTGACTAACTTCAACCCTTGTAATTCCATTGAAAGTGTTCTACCCAGGGTCACTCACAACTTCATTGCTTTGTCCTTGGGATACTTTGTAATCCTTAGCTTGTCTTTTCTCTCTGGTATCTGTCATTGTTAAATTACTCCATTTTTTGAGGTGTTTTCTGTCCTGTCTTCTGGGATACCATATTCTTCTGGTTTTATTCCTACTTTACAGACCCTTTCTTAGATTTCTTTATAAGCTCTTCTTTTTCATCCATCTTCTAAACTTTCATATTTCCCAGGATACTTTTGTCAGCCTTTTCTACATATTCTCCGTGGACAATCTCATCTACTTCTATTGCTTCTGTTGCCATCTAAATTCTGAGGACCCCCAAATCTCTATTCTTGCTCACATTTTTCCCCTGGGCTTTAAACTCATATGTTCAGCTGCCTACTAGACATCTCCAATAGGGTATCTTTCAGTGATCTCAGACCATCACCTCTAAGATTGAACTATTACCATAGCATTTATTTCTGGGTTCACTATGTCAGTGACTTATACTATCATCTGTCTAGTATACAACCACCTAGAAGTTTAGGCGTAATCATCAACAGCCCCTGTTCTGATTAGTTCCTAAATTCTATCATTTCTGCTGTTTTAATTTCTCCTCAATCTATTTTCATCTTTACTGCCAACATTTTATTTTCAGGCCCTCATTATAGCTTATTCCTATGGCCTCTGTGAATACATAAGGAAATATAGAATAATGATTAAGAGCATGGACTTTAGAGTCAGATAACCCTAGGTTTCAATTCTTACTCTATCACTTAGAATGTATGGTGCTCTGAACTTCAGTTTCCTCATTTGTAGAACAGGAATGTTACCACTTAATAGGGTGATTGTGAAATTTAAGTTTATGGCCCTTAAAACACAATGTTTGGTACATAATAAGCCTTCAACAGAAGACTGTTGCTACTATTAAGTAGCCTCCTTATTCCATATCATTCTCCATTTCTGCTTAGAATATGACTCTTTAACACAATTTTAGCACTCTCATGATAAAAATTCTTCTTCAGTAGTTCTTTATTACAGTCAGGATAATCTCCAAATAATTTTAACATGGCATTTTAAATGGTCTTTCATTTAAATGGAAATGGTTTCTGTTTTCCTCTTCAGCTTTTGCCACTCCTCCCTGTTTATGTCCCAACTACAGTAAATTAACAGTCTCTGAAAAGCACCTCTAGGCTTTTGAACATTCTGTGCCCTTTGGAACACCTTTTCCTACAGCTCGATAATTTTTAGTTGTCGTTGAGAACTCAGCTTACATGTTATATTCTTTGGGAACCCTTCTGTGACTACCTTTTTTTTTTATTTATTTTTTTTTATTTTTTAAAGATTTTATTTTTTTCCTTTTTCTCCCCAAAGCCCCCCGGTACATAGTTGTATATTCTTCGTTGTGGGTCCTTCTAGTTGTGGCATGTGGGACGCTGCCTCAGCGTGGTTTGATGAGCAGTGCCATGTCCGCGCCCAGGATTCGAACCAACGAAACACTGGGCCGCCTGCAGCGGAGCGCGCGAACTTAACCACTCGGCCACGGGGCCAGCCCCGTTTCTGTGACTACTTTTGACTCTGGGTTAGGCTTTCCAACATAGCATTCCTTACATTCTGTTGTATTTGCCTGTTCCCTTATCTGTTTTCCCTAATGCATTGTGAATCTTTGAAATTAGGGGTTAAGGAATGTTGAAGTTTGGCTATTGGATGTTCATCTGCAAGAACATCAAAGGTTCTCAAGGCAGTGTGCTTTTTACTACCCTACAGAAGATGAGCTTGTTCCTTCTTCTTAATACTGTACTCAGGTTAGCAAAAGGAAACATGCATATAATTTTTTAAGTATCGTTGGGATATGAAGATTACCAAAAAGAATAAGTAGTGTCGTCTGTACAAGAGTAGCTAAAAGAATTTATTTTTTAAAGTGATTCCTGCAACAACCTTTGCTCATTTAGTTACTCTTTATTACTATTTTAAATATTGATTTAATACTGAATTATCTGCATACATCTTGCTCATTAGTCAGTGAGACTATGTATTCTGATATCAGACAGTCCTGGTTTCAAACCTTTGTTAATAATGACTACTACTTCTAATCAGTATAAATATTAAGTTGTATAACAGTAAGCCCTCAAACCAGTGCCTTGACACATTGTATGTGCCTGAAAATTTAAATTTCCTTTTATACTTTTCAAATGTTTGATATCAAATGTTATATGGCCATCTATTTAATCCTAGTCAATCTTAACCTAACTAATCTTAAATTAAAGCCCATTCTCCTGGGAAGGTCCATCCAGCTCAGCTATCTCTGCTTACAGTTAGAGTTTATACAAAAAAATTTGAACACTTAAATTACCCTTAACTGATCTAACTCCATGCTAGGATGTTAACTCTTTGAGGGCATTGACAATGTCTTAAAGTTATCTTTCTTCCCTTGACAATTTGCAGAATGCTTAGAATGTGGGAGAAATTCAGTACACATTTATTGCTTAATTGATTTTTTCCAATGCACCGCTGTGCTCCCTCACCTTACTACCAGCCAGCGTGTGTTGTAGGAATGACTAATACTTTTAATATCAGCTTAGGTAAACCATATTTATAAAGGAAAATATGTTAGAGGACATCATACTGTGAGTATTCCATAGCTAAATAGAACTGAATGGGATTATCAGTTTTGCTGTCCCCCCACCCCCCCTTCCATTAGGATAACTAGGAAATACTGTATGTTTTGGTCCCCAATAATAAATTTGGTTTTGTGAATTTCCTTGATAATAAACCAATTTGGGTATTTTCCATTTATTATTTCTTCTGGATCAGTTTTCAAGGATATCGTAATTCATGCTTGCAAATTTGAATGTGTCTTACAGGAGGATTTGTTGGTATTGAGGAAAACGGTGAAATCCTTTTTGGCTGTTTGCCAACAGTGCCTATCTAATGTTAATACTCCAGTGAAGGAACAGGTAAGAAATTATCAGTTAAGAGCTCTCAATGAAACTAACTCAAAGGTATTGAAGAACGGTTGGAAGATGTAATTTTTTCTGGCAGTTCTTAGCATATAGGTCCATCCCTAACACTTATGGGACCTGGGACAAGAGTATAAATGTCTGAATATTTAAGTTACAAAGCAAGTTAATAAACCTGTTTATGTCTTTTTACTTTGACAAGTATATTGTCATAATGACCTGGAAGGCCAGTTTCAAATTTCAAATTCTTGACTCCTAAGAATTTAATGCCAGAACTTGGAGGGTTAGGGAACTGGCCTATGTGTCTGTCCTCTTCTCTTCTCACCTTCAGTTCTTTCCCCCACCAGGAAGAACTTCTCACACATGCATGTGAACACTTCAGCCCACCTGTCCAAACTCTCAGCATCTACCCCCTCGAACAGCTGCTCCTTAACCACCTTGGGCCCTAGGAATATACACACTCAAGATGCATGTGCCTAGGGAAAAGGCCTGTGCAGGCTCTGGTAGCACTCAGGTCTGATGGGGCAAGGAAGCCCTGAGTCCCAGTACCCAGACACTGGTGTAGAAGTAGGGCTACAGGTAGGCATATCCCAATGGTCCAACAGACTCTTCATTCCTTGAGAAGGGGCGCGGCCCAAAAAGGGTCAAAGTGGAGCCCAAGGCAGTACTGTTTCTATGAAGTGATTTTGTAAACTATATAATTACCTATTCTTCTATTAGGAAATACTTTTGTATAAAACAGAATGTACCTTTTCCATACTATTTTTTATTATGATGATGGGCTAGAAAGAGAATCTAGTTAAAGGGTATAGTAGTACTTATCCTTTGCTATCTCTTCTTACCAGATAGGTTATCACAGGTCTCTTCTCTATTGAGCTATCAGCATCTAACTTAAAATAGGAACAGAGATGATCTTTGCTAAACCTTAATCTCTAAACCTTCTGAACCCTACCAGTGCTGTCTAAAATTACCTAGCTCTGGACATTTAAAGCAAAAATTCAGTGTTTCTACATTATCACCATTTGGTGATATCCAAAACTCTGGCCTCAGTAAAAAATGTATATATATTCCCCTGGATTCTCTTTATGTTTCCCTCTTTTCAAGTGGCTCTTTCTAAATATCTTTATGTATTTTATGGTTGTGCAGTCAGAGAATGAACTGCCATGGTTCTTGCTGGAGGTAGACAGCCAAGTCTATAACCGTCTTCAACTACATGCCAAAATTGTGTTTTCCCATAGAAATCAGTTTTTGGAGGAGGGTGATTGGATTGTTTTGAGGTGTCAGAGCCCTCAATTATCCCACAACAAAATCTTTCAGTTAAAATAAACTGATGACAGGGGCTGGCCCCGTGGCCGAGTGGTTAAGTTCGCGTGCTCTGCTGCAGGCGGCCCAGTGTTTCGTTAGCTCGAATCCTGGGCACAGACATGGCACTGCTCATCAGACCACGCTGAGGCAGCGTCCCACATGCCACAACTAGAAGAACCCACAAGGAAGAATACACAACTATGTACCGGGGGGCTTTGGGGAGAAAAAGGAAAAAATAAAATCTTAAAAAAAATAAAATAAAAATAAACTGATGACACATTTATTTCATACCATCCATTAAATAGGGCAAATTTGGTAACAAAACTATAAGTTTCTCTTTGGAGAAATGAATTGTAAGTTCCCTTATTTAATTAAATTTGTTGGGAAGCTTTTAGATACTGGTTTTTATGTGAATGGTCTTGAATTCAATTTCAAACCTACTGTTAGAGATCTGTTTTTTACATTAGATTTTTTAAAGAAGAATCCAAAATAGTAGCTTACAGATTTAGAATACTGCATTGTAATTTGTTGAATTGTGCAGTTTGTCTTAAGATTTATGCTTATTATTTGATTTAGCATTATATGATTGATTTCTAACCTCCATCATAAGTTATTCTATCAATTTCGTATTTCCAGAGTTGAATTTAACTCTTTTTTTTTTAAGTTCAAGTCAAAATCTCTTATCAGCTGTTTTGAGTTAATACAGCCAAGTAAGAGGAATAGATTATATTTGGGGAGAAAAGTCTTAAATATAACTAGTGTTTAATGAGAAAAAGTAATTTTGTTGTTTGGAAATTAAAACTAAGTAGTTGGAATTTAAATGCTCAAAATTTCTATTATGGTACTGTTATTGAACTGTATTTAATTTAGTATGTTTTCATTAACATTGATTTGTAGTTGTAACTGTATTTGTACAATATTTTACTGATGCATTCTCTTTGCTTTTCAGGCTTTCATGTTACTCTGTGATCTTTTGATGATTTTTAGCCACCAATTAATGACAGGTGGCAGGGAGGGCCTTCAGCCTTTGGTGTTTAATCCAGATACTGGGCTCCAGTCTGAACTCCTCAGTTTTGTGATGGATCATGTTTTCATTGACCAGGATGAGGAGAACCAGAGCATGGGTATTTGTAGCTATCATCTTGTCAATTTTGATCTTGTTTACCAACCCCAAAAGATAGAAGGAAAAATTCAAATTTAATCATTAAAAAATACTGGAATTTCTCTCTCTTAAGAAAAAAGTTAATAACAATACATTCATGTAGTTAAGAAACCAACACGAATAAAAATGTATACAGTTAAGTCTCCCTCCTTTAATACAGTCCTTAGACGGCTTTCCCTATCAGGAAGCACAGACTTCTTGATTCTTTTTCTAATGATTACGTAGTATTTCGTTGTTTAAATATAGCAGATTATAGATATTATCCATCCCCTACTGATTGATATTTGGCTAGTTTCCAATCTTCTGCTCTTATAAACTATGCTATAATGAATAATTATGTACATTTGTCATTTCCCACATGTGCAAAATGTATATGTAGGATAGATGTTGAAGTGCATTCAGGTTCACAGTTTTTCTAAAGGAAAGCATCTGAGTTGCTTTCTATTCCTGAATGATCATCATATATTACTTAAATTAATAAAATATAACTATGAGATGTTAAGTGCTACAAGACTGTTATCAAACCTCACCAGTCAAAATTGTGCTAAGCCTGCAGAATGATAACTTAGCAAAATTAGACTGAATATAAGTAATTGTAAATGAGTTTATCTAGAATGGGTTATTTGTGAAATAGATGACTTAAGCTCTCTAAAATAAGATTTGTGGTGTATCTGATCCCCAGTTCTGTTTTAGAAAACTTAGAACATTTTAGAAAATGCTAGACTGTGAAACAAAGTATTTTTAGAGTCATTTTAATCTTAGAAGATAAAATTTACCTGCTACTTCTCTTAAGCAGAAAGAGTTCCAACTTCTCAAAGCACTGATGCTTCACAGCAGGACCAGTTAGTAGAAAGGAAAGAGAGAAGTTGACAGTAAATTCTTTTATGAACATATACATGTGAAGAGGGGAAGAAAGAGCACTGTCTCCAAATAAGGGCAGGCCAAGATGTGAGAGGATCACTATAGAGCCTGAAACAGATGTGTTCAGTTTTATCATCTGCAGCCTTATGGAGAAAATTTTCCTAAGATTAGAAATAGACAAGCCACTGGGATCTGAGAATTTAAAAATTGAGAAAGAAACACTACTTGTTTTGAAAGTATTTAATAGGGTTTTGTTTTAAAAAATGTATATGTGTATAACATGGTTTGCAAAATATATTTTATTTCTCAGCTGATAATGTAACCATGTTTAGGACAAGTCCTGAAACCTAACTCCCCCATATATTTCCATTGTTCCCCATATATTTTTCTAGAAGAAAACTTTTTCCCTGTGTCTTAAAAATTTCCAGAAATTTCTTCTCTGTGGAAATATATTAGCAGATAAGGAATACTGAAATAAGAAAAGACAGCATTTTTAAGGTAAACAGAGAACAGTATTATTCTGACGAAACTTATCAAGAAAAAAAACTAATCCTTATATATGGTTTGCTTTATATATGGTTATTTTACTCAGTCTTTGCTATGGCAATCTCCTAGAAGACAGGAACCTCAGTGCCTACCAAGTGTTAAATAAGTGTGTAACTAAATATAGCACCCTAAAATAATCAGTATGACTAACAGTTTTCATCCTATCTAAAACTGATTTGTACCTGTTTGTAAAGTTATAATATAAGGTTTTTATTATGCATTGTTTTACGTTGATAAAGGGCCAAAGTTCATAACCAATTTATTTTCTGTGGTTAGAGGGTGATGAAGAAGATGAAGCTAATAAAATTGAGGCCTTACATAAAAGGAGGAATCTACTTGCTGCCTTCAGCAAACTTATCATTTATGATATTGTTGACATGCATGCAGCTGCAGACATCTTTAAACACTACATGAAGGTATAGTTTCATATTCTTATTCTCCTTCCATCTAAGTGGCAGAGAAATTTGAAATGAAAAATGAAAGGATGATGACGGAAGTTAAAATTGACAGCTTTTACCTGTGTATTGATGATCTGATATATTTAAAGTTTCTCTCTTTTATATAAGTATATGATTTTTTTATCAATCTATATACTATTATATCAATTCCATAAAGTAGGAGTGCCTCACATTTATATGAAAGAACAGTTTTTATTTTCATGAGGCCATGGACTTTCTTGATGAACATGGATGATAGCTAATCTGTCTTCCTTATGACGTTTCTTCAGATTTTTTTTATAAGTATACCTACTGTGTGTACCCTGTCACCTGCCAGGCACTAAAGTTACAAAGATTTTTAAATTTCTGCTATAAAGTGGTCTAAAGCTGGAGGTGGTCGAGTAATTAGACAGTTGCATTATACAGTATAATAGACGTATGTAGATGGGTTCCTGGAAATATAGAAAACAGATACCCAACTCTTAAGAAATATGAGGGTTAATGAAAACTGCTTAGAAGTGACTTCTGAACTAAGTCTGAGAGGATAAGCATAAATTAGTCAAGCAAAAAAGTAGTGGGAGGACTTTTAGGCAGATTGAACTTCATGTCCAAAGACACAAAGGAATAGGAGTTGTTTGGAGGAAATGCAAGTAATTTGATATAGCAACATGGATTGTTTATGAGAATGGAGCTAGAGATAAGATTCAAAGAAGGTGACAGGTTATATCTCACGTACTGTGTGACAAGGTTGGGTTTTTTTCCTGAGGGAAGTAAGGAGATGTGGAAGGGTTCTAAACCATTCTGCATATGACAGGATTTTGATAGGTACTCACCTTACTGGCTGCTCTCCTTTCTATAAGTTCCATTTTGTTCCTGACCCTTTAAAAAAACAGTGCTCAGAAATCTTTATAATACTGCCTGACAGGCACAGAGAAGAGGAAACACTTGTCAGTTATGTGTTTTTGCCTTGTTCTCATGTCAGAGACAGTATTTTATTTTGTCCATGTTTAGAATATTTTGTGTGCCATTGATCCACTTGTGTCTTTATCCGTGTTTAGATATGGTCCAATTCTAGTTATGACATAGAAACTAATTTATGATATTTTGCTGAATAGCTGTAATATGATGATCACTGTGCTGGTAGCCGGAGATTTAAGTGAGACGTGATTTCTGCACTGAGAAGCTTACAGATAAACAAAGGAACTGAAATGTAAACATAATATAATGTAACATGCTAATAATGAATAAATCCCTATGTTTTCTGTGACATTTATATTTGAGACACTGTTCAACTTTTATATTCATTGATTACAATAACCCTGTGAAGCGGAAAATACTATCATCATTTACAGATAAGGAAATTAAGGCTCAGAGGTTAAGTAACTTTCCAAGGTCACACAACTATTAAAGTAGCAAAAATTGGGATTTGATTTTAGGTTTGTGTAGCTTCAAAGCTTAGCTCTTTGCACTGGACCATAAAGCCTCAGCATGGTTATTGTAGTGATAGATGAACAAATTACGAAGCAAGCACAACATGTAGAGAGAGACTTGAGTGAGAGGAATTAGAGAAAGCTTCCTAAAGTACTATAATGTCTAAACAGGGTTTGGATATATGAATATGAGCCAACCATGGTTTTTCCTTGTCATCACTTAACAATACTGCATTGGTTTCAAGAAGTGAGCCTTCTCCAAAGTTTTTATCATCCTTAGCAATTCTTGCATGCCTCTGCTGTTTATAGGCTTTAATCTTTTTGTGAGTATTCTAATAGGTATTTGCTACTCTTTGTTATATATCCCTGGCTGTTTGGCTTTTGCCCCACTTCTCTATGTGATCATTACAATTCTGAATTTATTAGAGATCTGCCTGCTGAACCACTTTAGTGTCTTAATATATATTGCTCTTTTTTTCTTCACTAGGATAATTTTTAGTTGCACTGAAAGGATGATTCTTTTGCGCTATTTTCCTTTTGCACCTCATATTGTGGAAGCACACCCATCTTTTTCAAGATTACAAAAACCCAACTGCCAAGCTAATATACTCACTTCTTCACATAGGTTTTAGGTTTTAGGCTTTGGCTTTGAAATAACATCTAGGTTTAATGGTTTCAAATAAAGCTTTTCCTAATTATGTACTCAGAAGGAAAATTCTTTAAATCCTGTGTGAAAAAAACTAAATTATAAAGAAATTAAATTTTTCTCGGTCACTATTGAAGATGCCAATATTTTTATTTTTCTTATTATAATAGTAAAATATAGACATGTTAGGGGAGAAAATGAAACAGTATACAAAACTATTAAATGAAAAGTCTGCTACCCTAATCTGCACATCCCCCTTATTTAGGCCCACTCCCCAGAGGTAAGCAATTTTAACTGTTTTGGTTTTAGTTCTTCAGGAAGTTTCTACCAAAGTTCTGTTTCTTAATTTGTCACCCTTTAAATGATGTCTATGGAATCCATGTTATAAAGAATGAGGAATTTTGCTGACCTGTATCACTTCCTCTCCTCTTGGAACTCCTAGTTTTTTAAGTCTTACTATTATTATTTCATAATCTTAAATATAAAATGTGTATTCCTTTAACTTTAGACTATATCTTCTAACTCTCACTATATTTATGATGGAGAAATTAAAGGCCTCTATACTCACCTTTCCATTTCTTTCACCAGCCCCTTCTCTATCTCATGAAATTTCAATAATTTTGAAGCTGTGTGTTCTTTCTTTTTCTCACAGTATTACAATGACTATGGTGATATTATTAAGGAAACACTGAGTAAAACCAGGCAGATTGATAAAATTCAGTGTGCCAAGACCCTCATTCTCAGTTTACAGCAGGTAAGAAATTTGAAAGAAAAGAGATAAAGAGTAGAATTAGTATTATTGAGCACTTCCATGTGCTTAATATCTGCTAGATACCTTACCTCATTTAAATTAGGTCATTATAACAGCACATTACTATGGATGCTTTCTGGTACAAAGATGTGTTTATGTGTCTTTTCTTTTGGAAGATAATCCTATAATTCACATTTCAAATAGATGAAATCCTAAGGTGATCTATTCTTGGACCAGATGAAATGCTCAATTGAACATTTAAAAAGTAATCATTTAAAAAGAAAAGCATCAGGGGCTGTCCCAGTGGAGCAGTGGTTAAGTTCGTGCGCTCCAATTCAGTGACCCAGCGTTCGCAGGTTCAGATCCCTGCTGTGGACCTAGACACCCTCATCAAGCCGTGCTGTGGCAGTGTCTCACATACAAAATAGAGGAAGATGGGCACAGATGTTAGCTCAGGGCCAATCCTCCTCACCAAAAAGAAAGAAAAACATCAAAATACACTTTTAAAGTATTTAATGAGGAAGAGGCAACAGTAATATCCAAATAAGAAAATATGTCATATATATAGGATAAATAAGATTCATAGTAAATGCCTAGTAAATTATTATAGAGATTGGAGTTGGGGGGGGGGGTCAGCTGTAGGTATGTATGTATATATTTAGTCTATGATAAAAGTCTCATTTCAAATCAGTGGGGAATGATTGAGCCTATTCAATAAATGATGATGGGTCAGTTGACTGTGTATTTGGAAAAATAGCTGTTTATAGCCCTATCATGTACCCAAAATAACTACTAGGTAAATTATATATAAATATTAAAAATTAAAACTTTGAGGGCCAGCCCCATGGCATAGTGGTTGAGTTCAGTGTGGTCTGCTTCAGCAGCCTGGGTTCACAGGTTTGGATCCCGGGCAGAGACCTACGCACTTGGCAGCCATGTTGTGGTGGCAACCCACGTACAATATAGAGGAAGACTGGCACAGATGTTAGCTCAGGATGAATCTTCCTCTGCAAAAAAAAAAAAAATTTAAAGTTTATAAGAGAATATTTTTATATCCTGGAGTAGGGAAGTTCTTTCTGAGGAAAAAAGCCACAAAGTGAAAAAAAATGATGATATATATAAACTTAAATAGATCTATACTTCACCCAGCACTCTGAACAAAGTTAAAAAATACATGACAGATAGGGGGAAGAAATTTTCAATCATACATAATAAATTCTACAAATCAATAAAAGACATAAATTCCACATAAAATTAGGCAAAGAATATGAAAAGTCACTCTTCAGAAAAGGAAATCTAGGGGCCAGGCCCGTGGCCGAGTGGTTAAGTTCTCGCTCTCCGCTTCAGTGGCCCAGGGTTTTGCCAATTCGAATCCTGGGCGCAGACATGGCACCGCTCATCAAGCCACGCTGAGGCAGCATCCCTCATGCCACAGCTAGAAGGACGCACAACTATGTACCGGGGGGCTTTGGGGAGACAAAGGAAAAATAAAAATAATTAATTAAAAGAAAAAGGAAAAGAAAGTTTAAAAACCAATAAACATGAAAAAAAGCATAACTTCATTAATAGCTAATGAAGTACAAATTGCAAGAAGATATTTTTCGTTGCTGAACAGATTGGTGTGAATTAAAATGATTGATAATACCAATGATTGATAAAGATGGGGAGAAAAAAGTCTTGTGTGAAGGAAATTGCTCTTGCCTTCTTAGAATATAATTTTGTGCTGTATTTCGAAGTTTAAGACAGATATTCCCCTTAAACTAGTATTTTTGCTATTAGATATCTACAGTCATACATCACTTCACAAAGAGGATATATTCTGAGAAATGCATCATTAGGCAATTTCATCGTTGTGCGAACTGCATAGAGTGCACTTACACAAACCTAGAAGGTATAGCCTACTACACACCTAGGCTATATGGTACTAATCTTCTGGGGCCACCGTCATATATGCGGTCCATTACTGACTGAAACATCATTATGTGGCGCATGACTATATAGATGCAGTGCAGATGTGCAAAAAGATATATGTGTGAAAGATACTTCCTTGTAGTAATCTCTGTAGTATTGAAAAGTTGGAATTAATCTAAATGTCCATCAACAGAAAAATGGTTAAATAAACTGATACTCTGAAGTAGCTAAAAGATTTTTAAAACAAAATATTACGTGAAAAATAGCAAGTTTCAGGACAAATTATGTAGTACAATACCATTTATGTAAAAGTTAAAACTTTGTATATGTAATGTATTAATGTTTCTAAACTGGTCTAGAAAACTTTCAAACTTTAATATTGATCACCTTTAGAGAGAAGAATGATATTTAGTGGGAAAGATAAAGGAGAACTTTTACTTTGATCTTCCTTGAATTTTGTACAATGAAATACGTTCTTTGTATTGTAAATTTTAAGGCTATTGTGTACAGCTATCTGTGAAAACATTTTAAAGTTTAAGAATTTATAAACAATTATCTGCAAATAAATTTGAAAATCTCTGGAAAAACTGCTGTTTCCAGTCATGGCACAGTAAGTAGTTCAGGCCAGTCTATTGCTGAAGAAAACTAAAAAGATAGACAACATAATTAATAGAAGAACACAAGAGCTATTTCAATTTAATGGTGTGATTAGAGTGAATTGAGAGAGTAGGGGGTGAGAAATTGAAGAAAACACATGTAAACAATACCGTGCAGGATTTTTGCCATAAAGAGACTCAGAAAAATGGGCTGGTAGCTGGCAGAGGAGATTGGAGTTAGGAAGTTAGGGGGTTTTGGGTTTTTTTAAGATGTATACATCTAAGTAGAGAGGGAACAGTTGACGCAGGAGAGAGCAGTAAGCTTGGGAGCAAAACCACTTAGTAGGTAAAAGGGAATGAGATCCAGTATGTAAGGAGGGAGAGGCTTTAAATGAAAGCCTGGCCTATTCGTCTCTCATAATAGTGGGGGAGGCAGATGTGTACCGATACAGTTAAGTTTCTAACTTTGGTGGTAAAATGATGATTGCTTTTATATTCTTTGGTACTCCAGGGTTTTCTTTTTATTGTTATTTTGATACAATATATATAAAATATATGTAATTTAGAAAGCCCCTCCACTCAGCTTAAGAACTTTTCATATATTTTGTTATTGGGTGGGAAAAATCATAGCCCCTACATCCAAATGGTCATCTTGTATATAATGTTCTTGTCTTAGATATAATAAGTGAAAAAACAAAAGTTCTGAAGCCTATATTTCATATATTGCCATTCCTGTGAAAACAACAACAAAAAGAATAATAGATGTTTATAAATGTATAGTATATGTCTGTAAACATATTTCCTTTTCCCAACCCAAAATGCATTATTTTTTTATTAAAAATAAATTCCTGGGGCCATCCCAGTGGCATAGTGGTTAAGTTCACACACTCCACTTCGGTGGCCCAAGGTTCATGGGTTCAGATCCCAGGCGCAGACCTACACACCACTCATCAAGCCATGCTGTAGTGGCATCCCACATACAAAATAGAGGAAGATTGCCACAGATGTTAGCTCAGGACTGATCTTTCTCACGAATCAATCAATTAATCAATCAGTAATCTTCCTCACCATTGAATGAGTAAATAGATAGATAGGCTGTTTGCATTTAATCATACAATTAGTATGAAAATGAGCTGAAGAAACTAGTAGATGATGTGAAGAAGGAGAACAGTGTGGCTACAGTTAAGTGCAAGGAGGGAAATATATATTTTTATCATATGCCTTTTAAAGATTTTTAAATTATATTGCTTATTCAAAAAATAAATAAATATTTCTTAGCTGTAGGCTTTTTCCTCTTTTTTCTTTCTACCAGTTGTTTAATGAACTTGTTCAAGAGCAAGGTCCCAACCTAGATAGGACATCTGCCCATGTCAGTGGCATTAAAGAACTGGCACGTCGCTTTGCCCTTACATTTGGACTGGACCAAATCAAGACACGAGAAGCAGTTGCCACACTTCACAAGTGAGTGAGCTAAATAAACACTTTCTGTTATGCAGAATCTGGTTTACTGGAATAAATGAAATAATTGTTATTGGACCCATTTTTAAAGTGACAAATGGTAGAATTTTCAAGGCATAAGAACTTTAGAGATTGTCTAGTCTAATGATTCTCAACTAGGGGGGCATTTTTAATTTGAAAAAAATGTATTTAAGCTGCCCATTTTTTCATCTTATGAAGTATAAGAAAATAAAGTTTAATAAAATATTCTTGTCTGGTCTATCAGAGAGTGTGAAAATGTTGTAGGAGACATGAGTTTAAAAACTGTGTAGTACTGATTTGGTCAACCTCATTTCATAACTGAAAACTGAAGGACAGAAAACTTTTAAGTACCTTACAAAAACTGATATAGCTACTTGATACCATGACCAACTCTAATAACCCAATTTTCTGGCAATCTAATTATCTTTCCAGGGTATTCTCTTACCCCTAAAAGATACACATAGTAATTTAATTCTGTAGCTGTTTATTTTTTTTTTATTATTTTTCACAACTTGCAGTTTTCTACTGTAAATAACAATTAAATATTATAATGCAAATATGTCATACCAATTGACATTATTTTACCATTTGAATTTGTCAGATTTTACTACCTTTAGTGATGATTTTGCTGTCTTCCCAACTGTTTTTGAAATTCTAGCCCATTGAGAGAACCACCATAGCTATCCGGAAAAATAAGATGATATTTTCTTTTACTTCAGGGATGGCATAGAATTTGCCTTTAAATACCAAAATCAGAAAGGGCAAGAATATCCACCTCCTAATCTGGCTTTCCTGGAAGTACTAAGTGAATTTTCTTCTAAACTTCTTCGACAGGACAAAAAGACTGTGTAAGTTGCACATTGCAAGAAATGTGGCTGTTATCATGACATCGTTGTAACTTTGTGTTTATTTTTTGAAGAAATTTTAATCACCTAGATATAATTACTGTTGATAACTTAAGCTCTGTTTGTTTGTTTTAAGGAACTGTAGTTTTCTTTCAAGCTTTTATTTATAATTGTTCTTTCACTGCTTACCTTTCAGTACGCTAGAATTTGTAAGATTAAATTAAGCAAGTGGAAATGATTTCTTATTCTGCAAAGATTTATGAACGTTGGCTTGGCCATTGTATAACCCTTTTTTCTTTTTATATTAATTATATTTTAGTTTTACTTTTTAACTTGTTTCAAGAAGATTGATTTTTTTTCTATTTTCTAGTTTTTATGATAGTTTAAAGAAATAATATAGGCAATTTTCAAAAAGATTTTGATGGGATAAGTCTTATTTAGAACAAACTAAAAAACTTTTTAAGAGCATGATTCTCTAATGGATCCCAAATTTCATAGATTGATAGGAATGTGAGTCAATTAATAACGTAATAAATGAACAGAAAATTGGAGGGACACTTAAAGCTTGTATGAATATGAGTGATAGTTCTAAGGAAAGATGTTGGCTTCATGTTGGTCAGAAAATATTTATTAAGCTCCTAATATGGTCAGGTACTGTTGTATAGCTTTTGTTCTGATATGGCCGGGCAGTGAACAATACAAAGTTTCTGCCCTTAGAAAGCTTATATTCTAATACAGGGAGACAAAACATAAACATACAAACAAACAAGAGTTTCAGGCACTGAAATAGGATAATATGATAGAGAATCAGTGGTGTTGGGTATTGGTGGGCATGGAGTGGTTTGAAAACCTTTTTTAATGTAGGCATTTTCAAGTATACATTTTCCTTTAAGCACTACTTTAGCTGCATTTTGTAAGTTTTCATTTATCTCAAAGTATTTTGTCATTTCCCCATGTGATTTCTTCTTTAATCTGTTGTTTATTTAGGAGTACTTTAATTTCCACATATTTATGAATTTCCAAATTTCCCTTTTGTTGTTGTTTTCTAATTTCATTCCATTGTTGTTAGAGAACATGCTTTATATGTTTTTTTGAAACCTTTTAAATTTATTGAGGCTCGTTTTATCGACCAACATATGATCTATTGTGGAGAATGCTCCGTGTATACTTGAGGAGAATGTGTATTCTTCTGCTGTTATTGAGTGGAGTTTTGTTCTGTAGATGTCTGTTAGATCCAGTTGGCTTATAGATTTGTTTATAGTGTTGTTCAAGTCTTTTTTTTTTTATTTTTATTTTTTTGAGGAAGATTAGCCCTTAGCTAACACCTGCCACCAATCCTCCTCTTTGTTGCTGAGGAAGACAGTCCCTGAGCTGACATCCGTGCCTGTTTGCCCCTACTTTGTATGTGGGATGCCTGCCAAAGCATGGCTTGACAAGTAGTGCATAGGTCCACACCTGAGATCTGAACTGGCGAACCAAGGGCTGCCGAAGCTGAATGTACAAACCAACTGCTGCGCCACTGGGCTGGCCCTGTTCAAGTCTTCTATTTCCTTGTTGATCTTTTCTGTGGTTGTTCTGTCCTACTGAAAGTGGAATGTAGAAATCTCTATTATTCTTGAATTATTATTTCTCTTTTCCTTTTTTTTTTTAAAGATTGGCACCTGAGCTAACAACTGTTGCCAATCTTTTTTTTTTTTTCCCTGCTTTATCTCCCCATATCCCCCTTGGTACATAGTTGCATATCCCACCTGCAGGTCCCTCTAGTTGTGGCATGCAGGATGCTGCCTCAAGGTGGCCTGACAAGCGATGCCATGTCTGCCCAGGATCCGAACTGGCGAAACCCTGGGCCGCCACAGCAGAGTTCATCAACTTAACCACTCGGCCACAGAGCTGGCCCCTATTTCTCTTTTTATTTATTTTTTATTATTTTTATTTTTTTATTGAGTTAACGATAGGTTTCAATCTTGTGAAATTTCAGTTGTACATTATTGTCTGTCAGTCGTGTTGTAGGTGCAACCCTTCACCCTTTGTGCCCACCCCCCACCCCACATTTCCCCTGGTAGCCACTAATCTGTTCTCTTTGTCCACATGTTTAAATTCCTCATATGAGTGGAGTCATACAAAGATTGTCCTTCTCTATCTGGCTTATTTCACTTAACATAATTCCCTCAAAGTCCATCCATGTTGTTGCAAATGAGACGATTTTTTTTCTTTTTTATGGCTAAGTAGTATTCCATTGTATGTATATACATCTTTTTTATCCAGTCATATGTTGATGGACACTTAGGTTGCTTCCACGTCTTGGCTATTGTAAATAATGCTGCAATGAACATAGATGTGCATGGGACTTTTGGAATTGCTGATTTCAGGTTCTTTGGATAGATACCCAGTAGTGGGATAGCTGGATCGTATGGTAGTTCTATTTTTAATTTTTGAGGAATCTCCATACTGTTTTCCATACTGGCTGCACCAGTTTGCATTCCCACCAGCAGTGTATGAGGGTTCCTTTTTCTCCACAACCTCTCCAACATTTGTTACTATTTGTTTCAGTTATTTTTGTCATTCTAATGGGTGTAAGGTGATATCTTAGTTTAGTTTTGATTTGCATTTCCCTCATGCACAGCAATGATGAACATCTTTTCATGTGCCTATTGGCCATCCATATATCTTCTTTGGAGAAATGTCTGTTCATTTCTCCCGCCCATTTTATGATCGAGTTGTGTGATTTTTTTGTTGTTGAGTTGTGTGAGTTCTTTATATATTATGGATATTAAGCCTTTGTCAGATATATGACTTGCAAATATTTTTTCCCGGTTAGTGGGTTGTTTTTTTGTTTCAATCCTGTTTTCATTTGCCTTGAAGAAGCTCTTTAATCTGATGAAGTCCCATTTGTTTATTCTTTCCATTGTTTCCCTTATCTGAGAAGACATGGTGTCCGAAAAGATCCTTTCAATACTGATGTTGAAAAGTGTACTGCCTACATTTTCTTCTAGAAGCCTTACGATTTCATATCTCAGGTTTAGATCTTTGATCCATTTTGAGTTTATTTTGGTGAATGGTGAAAAAGAATGGTCAATTTTCATTCTTTTACATGTGGCTTTCCAGTTTTCCCAGCACCATTTGTTGAAAAGACTTCCTTTTCTCCATTGTACACCCTCAGCTCCCTTGTTGAAGATTAGCTGTCCATAGATGTGTGGTTTTATTTCTGGGCTTTCAGTTCTGTTCCATTGATCTGTGCACCTGTTTTTGTACCAGTACCATGCTGTTTGATTACTGTTGCTTTGTAGTATGTTTTGAAGTCAGGGGTTGTGATGCCTCCAGCTGTGTTCTTTCTTCTCAGGATTGCTTTAGCAATTTGTGGTCTTTTGTTGCCCCATATGAATTTTAGGATTCTTTGTTCTAATTCTGTAAAGAATGTCATTGGGATTCTGATTGGGATGGTGTTGAATCTGTAGATTGCTTTAGGTAAAATGGACATTTTAACTATGTTTATTCTTCCAATCCATATACGTGGAATATCTTTCCATCTCTTTATGTCGTCATCCATTTCTTTCAGAAAAGCCTTGTAATTTTCATTGTATAAGTCTTTCTCTTCCTTAGTTAAATTCACCCCGAGGTATTTTATTCTTTTTGTTGTGATTGTGAATGGTATTGTGTTCTTGAGTTCTTTTTCTGTTAGTTCGTTATTAGAGTATAGAAATGCTACTGATTTATGTAAATTGATTTTATACCCTGCAACTTTGCTGTAGTTGTTGATTACTTCTAAAGATTTTCCAGTGGATTCTTTGGGGTTTTCTCTATATATGATCATGTCATCTGCAAACAGCGAGAGTTTCGCTTCTTCCCTCCTTATTTGGATTCCTTTGATTCCTTCTTCTTGCCTAATTGCTCTGGCCAGAACCTCCAGTACTGTGTTAAATAAGAGTGGTGGTAGAGGGCATCCTTGTCTCATTCCTGTTTTCAGGGGGATGGTGCTCATTTTTGCACATTGAGTATGATGTTGGCTGTGGGTTTGTCATATATGGCCTTTGTTATGTTGAGGTACTTCCCTTCTATCCCCATTTTCTTCAGAGTTTTTATCATAAATGGCTGTTGGATCTTGTCAAATGCTTTCCCTGCATCTATTGAGATGATCATGTGGTTTTTATTCCTCTGTTTGTTGGTGTGGTGTATCATGTTGATTGATTTGTGGATGTTGAACCATCCCTGTGTCCCTGGTATGAATCCCACTTGATCATGATGTATGATCCTTTTGATGAGTTGCTGTATTTGGGTTGCCAAAATTTTGTTGAGAATTTTTGCATCTATGTTCCTCAGTGATATTGGCCTGTAGTTCTCCTTTTTCTTGCTGTCCATGTCAGGCTTTGGTATGAGCGTGATGTTGACCTTGTAGAATGTGTTAGGAAGTGTTCCATCCTCGCTAATATTTTGGAATTACTTGAAAAGGTTAGGTATTAAATCCTCTCTGAAAGTTTGGTAGAATTCCCCAGGCAAGCCATCTGGTCCTGGGGTTTTATTGTTTGGGATGCTTCTGATGGCTGTTTCAATCTCTTTCCTTGTGATTGGTCTGTTGAAATTCTCTGCTTCTTCTTGACTAAGCTTTGGGGGATTGTAGGAGTCCAAGAATTTATCCATTTCCTCTAGGTTATCCATTTTGCTGGCATATAGTTTTTCATAGTATTCTCTTACAATCCGTTGTATTTCTGCAGGGTCTGTTGTTATTTCTCCTCTTTCATTTCCGATTTTGTTTATTTGAGCTTTCTCTTTTTTTCTTTGTAATTCTGGCTAGGGGTTTGTCAATTTTATTTATCTTCTCAAAGAACCAGCTCTTTGTTTCATTGATCCTTTCTACTGCCTTTTTAGTTTCAATAGCATTTATTTCTGCTCTGATTTTTATTATTTCTCTCCTTCTGCTGACTTTGGGCTTTGTTTCTTCTTCTTTCTCTAATTCAGTTAGGTGTAGTTTAAGATTGCTTATTTGGGATTTTTCTTGTTTGTTAAGA